AAATTTGCAAGCGCGTCACCGAATAACTTGGAGAAGCGTGTAACGATATCAATCGCAGAGTAGAATCAAAAGCAGATCCCCGTAGAATAATCGACTGCTGCGGGTAAACTTGCGATTTCGTTCAGATGCGATTTGAAATATGAAATGCCTGCGTCGTTTCGTGGCTCGTAAATATTTTTACTGCAACTGGAGGAAACCGGCGTTACACATGAAGTAACGCGATGTTGGCGAACGAAATTTAATAGCTGAAAATTTACAATACAAATGTTTAGTCGTGGCAAATAGGTTTATTATACCGGTGACTTTATAATAATTAGCGTTCGCGGGTGTTTTCATAAAAACCGTGGTACAAAGTATTACTTATTTATGCTCACGAAGGAATTAAGATTACTTAACGCTGTCTTTGAAGGCGGGCTTATAAATCGCGAGAACCGCTGCCCGCTCGTTGCCTCGCACCCTGGCTAAATGAATAGTCGTTCTCACTCCCGTGCATAAAACGTGTAATTATCCTATTTTCATCGAGACGCGTACTCGTTTAGATAATGAAGAATGCACGGTCTGATATTTCAGAATCAATTTAGTCATTCGATATTTATGGCACTTTCTTCTGGCCACTTCGTTTCGTTCGTTTTGCATAAATTCACGCCAGCTTAAAAGGCGTAACCACGCACAGTCGTTTAATTCATTGCGTTCGCTCGAGACGCAGAAACATATCGCGTATACATTACACGCGGTAATTAATCGATCGCGAAACGTTGAATAACGGATGGAGAAAAATAGTAGAGAGGAACCGAAAAGTGGTGAACAGCTTTTGGTTAAAACGATAGACCAGTTTTTGCTCGCGAGCGTTGGTTTATTAATGCAACGGATGATCGTTCTTCGCTTCGTTAAAACGTAATCACGTTCAATTATCCGAACAAGGTGTCCGCCATTTCGGTCGGATAATCGAGGTCGCGCTGTAATTTGAATAAACCACCGCGCGAAAAATCCGCAGATGCGTATCGCTAGTAAAAACGAAACGTTAAACGAGCGGGTGCATTCATCGACGACGAAAAATATTTCAATCTAACGAACGTTGCATATACGCTAGTATACGACTTTCTTTGCACGAGGAAGCTTCAAAGCGTGACGCTTTAAATTTTTAACGGGACGATTTAGTGTTCGTGCGATCGGGCATCGTCTTCTTAAAAAATCTCATGTATAATCACTTAAAAAAAGAAGGAAGAAGAAAAAAAAGGAAAAACGAAAGAAAGAATATAAGACGAAAGAAATCGAAGGAATAAGATAAAAAACAGAAATCCACGAGCATAGTCAAAGACGAAAAAAAGCCAACGGAAGAGGAGAAGCGCGGCCGATGTTCGGGGCCGAGGATTAAGCGCGAAAGCAACGACGTCTGGCCCATCCTTTAATCCGGCCGAATATTAACCAGATTCGCGGCTCTGGTCCTTTCATATTTCGCCGGTGACGGCATTCTTCGACCGACTGTTGAACGACTGTCTCCGATCGAACCAAGAAGAACGACTGACTGGACGAGGCAGACGAAGAGAAACCGAACGAACAGAAACGAAGAAAAAAGAAGCTACTTACTCGAAACGTAGAAAATAAATGGCGGAAAAAAAGTCTGACCAAAAACGAGAGACAGACCGAGAGGAGGGATACAGAGGAGAAGATGGAAGGAAACGGATACGCGTCGATTCGCGATATTATGCAAACGCGAGGGGACACGCGTGTACGCGGCACTGTCGCGAACGCAACGGGGGCAGAACCGTAGGGGTCTGGGGGGTGGAAGTATACGCGCGGGATGAGAGAGAGTCATAAAATCGAGCGAAGTGAACGCCAGGAGGGAGACACTGAGTGATGTCGGT